AATGAACTTTTTACAGACACAGTTTGTTAACCGAACTAAGATATTTCATCATGCAGCGATGCACTGACCCACTGCAACAAAGGAACTAATCAAGAGCACAAAGGGGAAGGATTTTGACTGGCCACGATCTGAAGTATTATTCACTCTAGTCGGTTTTAAGTTGCTCTCAGATACCAAGTCAAACCAAGTTAGAATGCATTGAAATGGAAGCTGTAAATCTGGTCTCTTGTCAAACCCAAATATTTTAATCCTATACAGCATAATAGGTTATCTTCATTGTTTCTTTGTGTGTGGATCTGACTCCAATCATGCACCACAGTACTAAATAAATGCAAGAGATTCTTAAGCAGTAGACTTAACCTATTAGATGCCGATGCAAAGTCAGCATCCAGGAAATATTGTTGTCCTGCTACCTAAGCTTAGTATTTTACTTGAAATATGATTAAGCTGAATGATTAGTGTGTCAGCTCTTTGCTCCAGATGAAAAGCATTTCCAAGGGAAAGCAGCTAGTTGTTTCTCTTAGACTGCAAAGAGCATTTTAAAGATAGAGTAATTGGATTGTTAGCAAAAACCTAACAATCTTAATCTTCTTAACCCTTTTTAGGTACCTTTCCTTCTCTAAAAAAGCTGTAGAGTTGCTTGTTTTACTACAACTAATCCACCTTTCCTTCATTCCATACAGGAACAGTATGACTTCTGCTACAGGGTGGTACAAGACTTTGTCGACATTTTCTCCGACTATGCCAATTTTAAATAAAATTTGCCTTAAACACGGTTTTAAAATGTTTTTAAAGCCAATTTTGCAGTTTTCAGTTTCCTTAACCTTGTGAAATAATCTTCTATTTTGCTATGCACTTGTCCTACCATTAACCCGAGCTGTTGTTCTGCTGTGATGTATGGTATCAGGGGGTGAAAATTGTAAATGGGGAAAAAAAGTAAGATTAATAATGTAAATTTTTGCAACATGTATGATAGTTATGTTGTCATTAAGCGTCGCTGCAAATTTGGTCTAATTTCAGTTTTTTTGTATAATGTTGTTTTATAACATTGTTAAAAGTCTATGTGAGTTTTGTTTTGAACTTACGATGGTTTTAAAAATGTAGTTATTGTAAATGTATTTATGTATTGACATTCCTTCCATGTGTTTATGTTTATTATTTCTGTAAATTATAAATTTTTCATTTACTGCTGACATCTGAGATTAGAAGAATGTTTTTCTCTCTCGTTTATAAGATACAAGATTGTCAGAAATGTTTGTAATATTGACAGCCATATTGCAGAGAACAAAGGTCTGAGGTGGTGATGCTGAAAAATGAATTCAGCTTGCCGAATCAGACAGACGGGTGTTTAATGATAGATGAAATGTTTTTACAGCCTGCCTTTTATCTGTATTGAGCAAAAATGACTTTGCTAAGATTAACTGCACATTAAAAAAAGCACATAACTAAGAAAATTGCCAAGAACCTCTAAACCAAAATGTGTTTTTGTATATTTATCATTAAATTATTGCTATTTGGTGCCATATTTAAAGGTTTATGAAATATTTCTAAGTTATGTATAGGAGCCAATTGCAGTAAAATACAATTTTATGTTTCAGAGTCAAAACTTCAAAAAGAGCATAAATATTATCCTAGAGACAAGAGCTTAAAAAACAATTCTATATCTTTTTTTTTTTTGCCAAACTGTTTAACAAAATGAAAAATGTGTATGTTTCTAAAGGAGAAACAGTATGAACAGGATGTGAAATTGAAATAGATTTTTAGAGAAGGTTCTGGCCCGTCTGGTAATCCAACATACTGTGTTTTTTTGTTTTGTTGTTACTACCGTATATTTGAATACCACATGACAAAATACTAACAGAGAAACAATGGCGGCCGAGAAGGGATCTGTCAAGTGACTGGTCCCGTTTTGTGAGTTACATGTGAAATATAGCACAAGATAAAAAAGACTGAACAAAACAACAAGTCTATGTTGCCAGGGCTTGATTTCTGTTCAAGTTGTCCTTTAGAGAAGGCTGAAGAGGGCTTGTTTCAAATCCAGCTTTTTGCCTTTGCTCTCTGTCTCTCTCTTGTCTACCATGTTTTCATTGTCCTTTAATATCCAAGTTGCAATATTAAATTCATCTAAAATGCTCTGGGTTTAGTGGAATTTTCTTGACAATGTAAACTTGTTTAAAGAAGAGCCATCCACGTCACTCTTTCAAGGCTTCAAAGGTTGGATTTACCGATGGAAGAAATGCAGCTTTAACTTTGTGGGTCAGGGCATATTCAGTGTGACATTGAAACAATAGATGATATATGTGCTGGGTAGCAGTCTTTGCCTTGATGAAGGGCAGACGAGAGGAGTGCATTAAGATAGGTGGGGCTGCACTACTAACAAATTAGTTTCCTTCCTTATTTCTGGCTGAAGGACAAGGAAACTGAAAAAAGCCAAACTTGCTAGACCTCTGAATTCCAATAAATGGGATAACAACTCCCCACTTCTTGCAATCATTACTGAAATTAAAGTTATAATCAAAGCTGCATCATTCACCTAAAGTAATTTACTAACCAAGGTAAAACATACAAGCCAGCAGGGGGCGCTGTACCTCAAACAAAAGTTAGATCAATATATTTCTTCCATAGAATCCTAAAGCTGCAGGGGTTCATTTAAACATAACTTATAATAATCATAAAACAGACAGTGAGACATGAAATGCTCCAAAATGAGCTGATCAGCAGTTTATGGTCAGTAATTTTTGACACATTCATGCATTTAATCTTATCTTAAAGAGGGGATAGTACAAGATAAAATAAGCATTCTAGTCTAAATACGTGTTCTGGTAAAACAGAGTTTTTCTATTATAGGATATTAAATGGAGATTTTGCAAAATGTCTTTTTAAGATGGAAACCCTTCTTAGCTTTGGGCTAGATTTCATCAAAGGCCACATTCCCTCTCATGTCAAACTAACCTTATAGGTTTATATTTGAATTTAATGTGGAGATATTTTGAATACACTTTACAGCAGAAGTCTTGAGCTCTGTGGTCACAAAATTATTGTAATATTGCCTGAACGTGAAGAAAAAAAAAATAGGTATGGACAAGTCTCCAGAATTTCCATAACGGGTTGTAAACTTTTAGTTTACTTATTTGGCAAATTCTCATGCTGATGGTGGTGAGCTAAACTGTAGCCATGGCTGCATTGGGGCAGACTGAGAGAAGTAAGGCTGCGATACAATCCAATGGTTAAAGGAAGAACCCCTTTCTCATGAGCTGCTGTCACCTTAGGATGGTGAGAAATGGTTCTTTAACCCAAGATATCAGAATCTCAGCCCTGTCTGCTGTTAATCCCTCATTTTTTACTCTACAACCACTCTTGGAAAGTGCAAAATCAATGCTTTATTCTGATTTCAATGTTGTTTTGTCCCTTTTCAGTTCATCAGGCCTTATCTGCGTAAGTCTTTGACTAAATAAAGTCAGAACATGGCTTTTTTATTGCCATTTATGAACTAATTAAAAAAACTAACTGCAGAAACCAAAACCAAAGTGTGCACAACATTAGGGAGGCGTTTTGAGCCTCAATCTGTGACACCGTTTATGAAACACAACAAGCGTGAGCAGACTTTCCTCAACATCAGCCACAAATAAAACAGCCAAATCTGAGCTTATTTTCAAACACATTAGTAGTTCTTTTTTTGAAGTGAAAAAGCCCTATTTAACAGAAAGCTTCTTTCTTCAATTTTCACTTCCTCAGAGCCCTGGATCCATAGCAACAGATACCCCCTGTTGGTAAAGAAAATGCTCAGGATGGGCAAAGAGGTCACATGAATTATTTATGAACCGTAACAAGCTATTTTTTGATTGACCTCTGGTCACAATGGCGTCCATTTTCTGTCGAACAAAATATGGAAAATGAAACAGAATAGCCTGGGCTGTGACCCCTTAGCTGCAATCCTTTAACATCTAGCTTCTGGAAAAGATTTACTAATTATACAGGCCATATGTATGAGAAACTATGGTTAGTATCCAATTTAGCCCAAAACATTCTGAGTATTCTTTAAATATAGCCGTTCGGAACCACGATGATCTATGAGAGGGACACTTTTAAAGATCACCAGGATATCTTATATGAAATTTTCTTTACAAATAAGGTATAAGAAATATGGTTATACAAATTATTTGATAATGCAAATTTATAAAGTATTTTTTGTATCTGTATAATATTTGAGTACTTTGACAGAAGGCCCAGAAAATGTGTATATGCCGTTATTTTAAAAGCATATAAAAAACTTTTTGTCAAAGAGGGCCATAAAGATGTCCTGCAACATCCTAATTATCAAAAACAAAACCTATTTCTTTATAGTAAAATTAGTTTATGAGTTTTCTGATGGTATACTAAAGTATAAATAGCTTTTTCATTTTTATTTTTGTATATTCATCTGCAGTATAGCATTTACAGGCATCTTTAGCATGTTAATGGCTTCATGTTGAGCTGAGGCCCTGTAGTGAAGACTGTTTAAGCTGTTTTTATATGACTTGTTAAAATGTGCCCCATAATGTATCTAAATGTTGTTTTAGCAAATATGTGAAGATAATCCTAATGAAATATTTGTCCTTGGTAATAAGGCTAATGCTGTTTATTGGAAGTGAGGATACAATGGGAACATAACATTTTTTTTGTTTGATTCCACTTTACAATAACCATCAAAACCATTATTAATGATTAAAATATGATTTTTATTGACATTTGGTTCACTTTTAAAAATTCATCTAAACCATTTATAAAAGGTAAATAGATAATTTTTTAAGATATTAAGCCCACTAATGTTGTTAGGGTTAGGGCTAAACTAACATGACAGGGTTATATCTACTTCCCAATTATAATGATAATTAGATGCAGTCTATAAATGATTATTAAATATTAATAAACTATCTGTTAATCATTAATAAATTATCTCATTACCATTTATAAATGGTTACTGTTAGGAATCCAGTCTGTGTGGGTTGTGTTTTGGTGTTTTTCTCTCCCTATACCACCAGGTGGTGCTCTGTCCTCGTTGGTCCTCCACCTTGGGCTGGTTGGCTCATCACTGGGGAGTATTTGAGCAGTGGACTGTCACTACCTCGACGCCAGAGTGTTTGCCAGTTTTGGGTACTCTAGCCGAGCTGAGTTTAGCTGAGTCTAACTGAGTCTTTGTTTCTCTGAGTACTGTTTTTGTCTTTTGCCTTTCGGCAGGAAGTCATCCTGCATACTGGATTATTGGCCTTCTCCCCCCTGGAAGGATTTGTTTGAGCTCCACATTGAGCAGAGGATTTATCTCCACACGTCCCATTCAAGTACTCCTGGAAATCTAAGTGGCAGTCCGCTTCATTGCTCCTCAGGAACCAACCAAACCAAAACCTGTTCGCCCTCCAACAAGCCACTCTATCTCTGGAAAAACCCACACCGACTGGATACTGGGAAGAAACCTTTCTCCGCAAACGTGAGTCCAGTTACCTCTGTTTTTGCAAGACGTCGTTTAAAGTTCCCACGGACCCTGAACTAACCTCTGTAAATTTCCCCTCTTACTTCCAGTTCCAGTTCACCAGCCCTCTGAGTTCATCTGAATCCAACCCATTTGGATTCCTAATAAACCTGTTAAACTTTTACTCTGGTTTCTCTGAGTGGTTTTACTGCATGTGGGTCAGATCTCTTTAAAACACTGTGACAGTTACGATAGTAATTGTAAAGTGTTACCAATTGTTTTCCAATAATTGAATTAAAACATAATTGGGTCAGTTTTTTGCATGAAAAGAATAATAAAATAAGTTATTTCAAGTGTAAATGAACTTAAAAGTGAGATCTGAAGAATCAGAGAAATACAAGAAGCTATTAGAAAGAGGATGTTGAAAGAGATGAGTTTCTGGCCTTAATTCAAGCTGGGAAGAAGAAGAAAGGCGTTGTGTTTTGATTAAGTTATTTGCAATGGGAGTGGAAAGATGTTTTTTTTTCTTGGCCAAAAAAAACAACACTCCTGACAGTGTGTCCTTTTTCCAAATATGCAAACAAGGCTGTGATTTGTCAAAGTAAATTGATGATTACTGTAACCATGAACAAAAATCTTGATCATAATGAAAAACATCGAAGAGGTTTGGATCACAGGACATTTCTAACAGATTTTAATGTGTCGTGATGTGAATTATAATCCTTGACATTTTTTCCCAAAATCTTATTTGGCTGAGCCAGCACCTACAGTAGACCATTGGAGACACCACTGGTGTTTTGAATGTAAAGAAAAATAAACTTTTTTCATGTAAGAACTGTATTTTTCACTTTTTGTATGTATGCTGTTAGTACAAAGCTTCTAGTCAAATCCCTTGATTGTCTTATTGGATTTAATCACCACCTTATCTTTTGAATTTAAGCCAAACGAGCAGTCTTTTTGCATTAAAAAGGTTAAAAGTCTTTATGTTTGAATTCATTTTGGTTCAATTTAACTTTTGTTATCAGACTCTTCTATTGCCTTTGTGTGGCTACAACTTATAGAAGACAGAAGAGCACAGACACAGGGCAAATAACTATTCTAAGAATGAACTCAGAGATCTTGTGTGTCAGTCTCCACAGATGGGATCTTCTGTTCTTCTCTTTGAAGCTTCAGTGCCTCCATTATGACTTGTTAAATTCACTCTCTCACTCTCATTCTCTCTTTCACAGTAGAGCATATTGGTGCTCTCAAACCATCGAATGGACAGCTTATGCCTGCAATAATTTAATCTTACAGCTCTTACTGAAATCCTAATGTGACACAATAGCAATGTAACTGCATTACAAGTGTTATTATACACCCCCATTGAATTATCAGGCAAATATGCTTTCCAATCTTATTTTTTTTAAAGAATGCTATCGCATGAACTGATCAACATAGTTAAGATTTGATATAAGAAATTGGCTTGTAAGGTAAGGGGATATTGTGTAACAATTTCTCTTTTTTATTGCCTGAAATCGATGACTAAATTTACAAATGTGTTATAATTGGTATATTTTTACCAATAATTAGATACATTTTAATATGCAAAGAATTTTATATTAGTTTATATATAAGGCAGATCATTCATTTGCAAAATACCATTACAATCTGCTGTATTGAAATATGAAATAGTAGTAATGCATGAAATAACACATTTCCCCTTGTTGGCAGTTCAGTGTTATGGAGAAGAGGTGGTGAAGATCATTTGCAGACCCTAACCCAAGAACTGTAAGTCTGCACTACTGAAGCATCTGCACAAGAAACGGTCTCAACATCCACAAGAAAGCAAAAAAAAGAACTTAAAAAATAAAACTGGAGAGATTAAAAAATAGATAAATAAACATCTGACAAGCCTCCAGGTGGAAGAAGCTAATGAAGGAGAATGATTTTAAAAGGGACTCTGAAGTTGCCATGTTTCTCTTTGACAAGCAAGTGAAGTTACTGCCTAAATTAGTGTAAAGTTAACTTTAATTACCATTCGGGTTGAATTAGACAGTAACGCTCATTCCCATAAAAAGCATAAAAGTAGGTCCCACATACATAAACTAATAACATATCTTAGCTACTGGCCTAAGTAGCTTTCAAAGCCACAGTGAACCAAGGCTTTTTGTCAAAGTACAGTAAATGTCAGCTTGTAGAGAATTCACTTCAGATGACATCTGTGTAAATTCTCATTCATACGGGTCATGGCAACCACAATGACATTCTTATACCTGAGTTGTCAAGGCTTTTTGACACACGGCTGCTACCGTTGCCATATTGCGGCAATGGTGTGCTAGGGTATAGTGTTCATTTGAGTGAAATACCCCCATTTTACCGCTAGATGATAGTTATTCTTACACAGTATCCCTTTTAGAAAAGCAGCAGTAGGGCATGTTTTGGCTTTGAGATCTGTGATAATTGTTATCATAAATTAATCAACCTTAAGGCAAACTTTTTGATCAAAAAAAGAAAATTAAAAATTGCTATGCAAATTATGCATTTTTTTGTAATTTAAAAAAATTTCGTGTTGGTTTAAACTCTTTCTGAACGATTAATTAATTCTTACAAAAATATTTTTCCATAAGTTCTTAGTGATTGTTAAAGAAATTTGGGGTGCCTGTTGTACCCTATACCGCTAAGATGGGCCAAGGCACAGACTGGAAGGTGGATTGATTAATAAGCACCAGTTTCCAGAAAATGAGGTGGCCAGGCAGGGACCAGTCTACACGGAGGGGTTGCCAAAAACTGAACCACTGCAAGAAGAGGAAAGAAAACGACCAGAACCTCCCTTCTTCCCAATTAAGCACAAAACCTACTTCTGAAAAGAGTGTTAATTCTCTTTATGTCCTATTGAATTTTTTTATTTTTTACGTCCATCCATCCATCCATCCATCCCTCCATCCATCCATCCATCCATCTTCTGCTTATTCCATCAGGGTCGTGGTGGGGTCGGTGCCTATCTCTGGCAGTCTATGGGCAAGGGACGGGGTACAGCCTGGATAGGTCACCAGTCAGTCACAGGGCGTATATTTAAATAACTATCGTAATTTTATTGTCAATTTATTGTTAATATACTAGTAGTTAGTAGTTAAAATATTTGTTTGTTAGAACATTCCAACTGAGAGTATCACACCTTGCACGATATGTTTTAAAGATGAATTGGTGGTTCTGAAGGTTTTAATCAGTGTTCTAATGGGAACAACAAATGAGCAAGTTGGGGGTGCCACAGAGGTGGCCACTGATTGGCTAGGAGTAGACATGGCCACTCCTTGCACCCCCTTCTAACTCCGCCTATACAGAACACAAGCAAGAGCAACTTAAATACCCGTGAGAAGTAACCAGCTAAATGGAAAACAGGTGAATCAACAGAAACAAAAACAAGTTCTAATTCATTACAGTACCCCTCCCTCGAGGGGGTACACTACACCAAATATGTCAACAAGTCCATAGAAAAAGAAAACGACACAAAACAGACAGTGGAGAGTGGAAAGGACAAGAAAAAAAACAACCTACACTTTTTGCTGTCCCGAAGAGAAACAGAGTTCAGGAGGCCAGCATCAGTGAAGAAGGAGCCTTAAAGGTCTGCAACTGCAGTGCAGGAGTTGTGGAGGCCAGCAGCAAAGTTTCATGGAGAATAAACTGGAGTATACAGCAAACCAAGGAGAGCCCTACCTGATGAAGATTGCTCAACAGGCTGAGAAGGCTGGGAACCCCTGAGGAGCTTAGAAACCAGAGAACCACAGTGGAAGTTAAGTAGGAGACAGACCACAGACTCAGACATGGATGCAGCATAGAGAAGGCTTAATAAAATAAAACTTACAGAGCACAGAGGGCCTCAGAAACCAGGGGGACATTCATGAAGGAAAGAATAAAAAACAGGGACTTAAATCCAAGCAAGATATGCCAGACTATATGGAAAGAAGATGAGTGCAAGCAACAAAAACACAAACAGGTATTAGTTTCTAAAAAAGAACCCTTGACAGATCAACACAAAATGTAACTTTCTTTACACCTTAAATTAGGAAAACTTAGAGGAAGATTACCCAAAGCAAACCATAAAATACTTTGTTGTTTGAAGCTACCCACCAATTACATGGAATTAAAGACAATTTCTAGACAAGAAGTTCAATATGAAAATTTTCATTCCAATAAAAGGGAACAGCTCCTAGATACAGCAGTACATTGCTGATTTTACATTGTTATGCTTATAATAATAACAACCAATACAACTTTGGCACCACTGTTTTTTATTTAAACGAGACAATAGCCCTATTTACAGTAGCCTTTTGAAACCATGCTGTTGACTGTAAATGGCATTCAAACTGAACCAGACCGTGCCAAACACAACTAAACCACACTAAATCTAGTTCATCAGTAGGGCTCGGCGTGGTTCAGTTGTGGCTCGGTTCTCTAATAACAAAGAGCGCATGAGCAGACCTTGTCATCTCCTATTTACAGTCAGCTTCCAGTAGTTGGTGGTAATGCACAACAGAAAGAAACAAGAACTATAATCGACAATCAAAATCTTCTCAACACTACATTTTTAAAAATGGCTTCAAAAGAGCATTGTGCGCCAGGGAGGACGCCGAGACTGAAGCCGTTTCTCAATTCACTAGAACGCAAGTACGGACTTGTGTCCTTGCCAAGTATGTTCTTGAGAGGTACACAGGAAAGTCTGGATTTGGTGAGAACAGGAGCACCCAGTATAATTGGGGTCAATTGGAACAGAAGCATACTTGTCACGTTACCACATTCCCAGCTCTTCTAAGGCTGCATTTTACCTCCTGTTATTAATAGTTTCTAGATAATGATAAATTATTACTTTTTTCATTTAGTGGGGGAATATTAATTAACACAGTCAGATAAACACAAATCAAATTAACATTTTGCCAAATAAATAAAAAAAAAAATCGCCATCAGAGCCAGCGGTACTTCAAACACGACTATGCCGAGAGAGGGCTGCTGCAGACGGGCTAGGATTAGACCTGGCTGCCATTACCCACGGAGGTTGCCGCGGCTCTCTCAACTTTGGATATTTCTTTTAAATTATGCATTAAATCGGTAAATGGACCATATAGTGATGCTTTAAAGTATAATATTCTCACCTAAAATGATCTCAAAACATACTTTTATTGAACAACACCAACAGAAAAGAGAACGTTTAACTTTCAATGGAGCAATCCATTGAAAGCTGATGCTGCCGCGGTGCATGCTGGGACAGCTGTCAATCTGGAGAACAAACAGATCTGCTCTGATGCATGCTCAGTAACTAGGAAGGGACCAGAACAACATCAGGGGACTTTGTCTTTTCTTGGTCTGCTGTCCTAGTGAATTGAAACAGTTCTAGGGCTGAGGTTGATGACATTTCACGAGTACACGAGCACATGAGAACACATGAGTACACATATTGAAAAACGGCCTGAGACTCTTATAGCAATTTGGGCAGAGGATGTTGTCCAGGCAATGTTGGATTAAACAAAAGATAATCACGAAGTTTTCCTACCAAAGAGCAGTAGTACCGCAAATCATCACTAGGAGGCGAGGAACTGTGCTAGCGTTTAAACGGTCGTAAGGAACCAAGCTCAGCATGGTTAACTGATCCAAAACACACTCCAGAGTAATCCAAGACGTCTCCATAACACAGTAGATTTCAGGATGATGAGTATACACACTCAGAGGCCAAAAGGTAGCACTAAAGTCATTGTCGCCCATGTAATTAACATCTAAACTCAAAATATGTAACAAAAAATTTATCATGTGAGTGAAAATCACTGCTGGCCTATTATAGCATATGAA